AATTTGACTCGACTCAAATTTTATACTCGACTCAACTCAACTCGAAAAAGTTTTAAGTAAACATCAAGTTGTAAAATATAACTCGTCAACTTGAATAATTCGAATTTTTTTTACTCGACTCGATCAAACACTTACCACTAGCAAGTAATGATTGTTTGTTTAAGATGAAAAGAACCCCCATAGTTTATATATTTATTTATTTAAATACTCTTAACCATTTGATAATAAATATTTGTATCTCTACAGTATTCAAACACGAAACTTCAAGAGATAGCAAGAAATCATTTTAACCACTAAAGTCAATTGATTCGTACTATTAATTTGAATATAAAGATTCTTTCAATTTTATTATTAAAAAATGGGATTATACGGGTCCAATGGCGGATCTAGAATTTTTTTAGGGTGGATATACATATATTAATAATATAAATTTTTTTGATACGATAAAATTTTAGGATGAGCTCCATAGAATTTCAAGGTTGGCACATACATTAATAAAGAAAATTTTAATTTTTAAAGAAGAAAATTTGAATTCCATTAAAATTTCAGGATGGACACGTGACTATCGTAATACCAACGTGGATCCGCCACTGTATGAGACAACAACAGTAAATTATTGATTATATAATATAAAATACATAAATTTTACGTGAAAATTTTAAAAGAGAAAAACTATAGTTAAAGAAGTAGAAGTTCACTAATATTGAAAAAAAAAATACAAAAAATTGAAACTATAGAAAACTTTCAAACTTTATCAGACAAATCTATAATAACTTTAATTTTTAATATCTATTATATGATGATGATGATTATTATTATTATTATTTTATAAGTTTCATATATATTATCCAAAGAAAAATCAGGTAAACCTACTACAAGTAACAGAGCATTCCAAAAAAAAAAAACAAATAATACTCCAAAGAATAACTCCCCAACTATCACAAAGATCCCTATTAACAATATCAGCACTATCAATTTTCCAATCAACAAGCATATTCCTCACTATCCCAACAACATTCCCAAGTAGGTGAGTAAAACTCAATTCGACTCGAAAAATTGAATTTTTGACTCGAATTGACTTCGGATTATAGTTTCATAAACTCGACTCGAAATTTTTTTAAGTTCAAATCGAGTTTTAAAATTCAACTCGAATAACTCGAAATTTTTAGTAACTAGTGTATTTATTTTCAAGAGTGAGTATAGTCCTTGGACTTTGTATGATATATGAATATCACATATGGAAAAAAAATGAAGAAATATATTTGTATTATATATGTGGTTTTAGAAAGACATTTAAATTGGAATTAAATAATATTATAAATATTTATAATTAAATTTAAATAAAAACTCGAAAAATCAACTCGACTAGATTTGACTCGAAAAATTTTAAATTAAATATGAGTTGTAAAATAGGACTCGTCAACTCGAATAACTCAAATTTTTTTAACTCGAGTTGATCGAACTCTCACCCCTACCGAGGACCACCTCCCATTCTTTAGCAGAGTTTTGAAACTGTCTCCCGTTACGCTCCTCCCAAACACAGTAATATTATATGAAAATTATTTGATTAGAAAGATAACTTACACAACAATGAATTTATTCAAACTAAGGGGTTGTTTGTTTACCTCTTAATAAAATCATTCAGCGCTGAAAGTTGAACCGTTTAGTATTCAGCGCGTTTGTTTCAAATATCTGAATGATTCAGTGCTGACTGATTCAGCACAGAAGTACATTCTGAATGATTCAGAGCCAGTAAACAAACATCATGTCACATTCAGAGCTAATTCATCAATAGCCTCTGAATCATTCAGCATTTGAATCATTCAACACTTGATCATTCTGAAGTAAACAAACAACCCCTAAATTATAAAATCTAACATAAAATGTTTAGGGTAAACTATACCATTGACCATTCAAATATTTAGCCCTTTTACTTTTATCATCGATCTTTGAATTTTATCAATCACACCACTAAACTATTTAATTGTTCTCAACACAGCCATTTGTCGTTAACATCTAATATATTATGTGACGTGACAGTTAAATATTTTAGTATAATCACACATTTGGTCAATGTTATTTACATATTCTCTCGATATAGTCATATTTTTAATAAATTAAAATAAATTTAATAATTGAATCAAATGGTGCCACGTGTCACCATTCAATTAAAGAATTGAATTTATTATAATTTAGTATATTTATTTTCCACCAATTATAGGGTGACACATGTCACTCTCTTATTGAAAGAAAATAAAACAAAGTAGATTTTTGGATGAGGGGACTAATATGAAAGCAACCTGACACCAAACCACTAAGCTAGGCCATTGCTTGGTTCAAGATTGACAACATTATTTATATATCATGTATGTTAGTGTCACCCTTTGGTTTAAAGAAATTAGACCATACAACATTGTTTATATATTTTATACATTATTTTAACCCTAAAAATATATTTTATTCTTACTTTAACTTATTAAATATATGTTAAAAATATTTTTAAATTAAGAATATATATATATATATTAAGTTAAATCAATAATAAAATATATTTAATAATTTAAAATAATAATATAATATAATTAATAAATTAAGATAAAATATATAAATTCAAAATTGAAAATAATAATAAAATATATTTTAGATTTAAAATATTTTTTTGAAGTTAATATATAAAAAATGTTATGATTATTCTCTTCCCTTTTTTTCTTTACAATTTGTGCCCAATTTTATTGATTAATCCAACTTTTTATTCTTTAATTTTATTTAATCGGTGGAGGCACCGATTTTGATGTTGGTTGCCACCCACCGCTTTGTCTTTTTTCTTTGTTTTTTTTTTAGTTTTTTAAATAAGAATACTTATGTTTGTCTTTATGGCACATTTATCTCTGACTTTGTGGCACATTTTTCTCTGACTTTTGGTAGCTTACGATTTTATTGTCGTTGTTTTCGTTTATCTTTTTTCTCAGGGTTGGATTTGACTTTGCTACGACTGATCAAGATGGCGTTTATTTGTTATTATGCTGATCTTCCCTGCTATGGACCTTCGTATTGATTTGTATACGCATTTTGTGTTTGAAGAAAGTTTTCTTACATCGCTTGACTTTGATTTGCGATTTGTCGGTAGTTTTTAGTAGCTTCATCCCCTTTTGTAGATTGTTTGCCGATGTAATCAGATTTGTTCTTATCTTTATTTTGTTCGAACATTGGTTAGATTTTTTTAATCTTTTCCTTTTTTTTGGTCTTTGTGTGATATAGGTGGTTTATTTTTCTGTTGATAGTTATAAGAAAATGTCATAATTATAATTTATTTTTATGTTTACCATTATACTTGTAAATCTTTATTATAATTCTAGATATTTTCTATTTTTAACAAAACTAACGACTTTCTATAAAAAAAAATGTTAGGAGTACTTATACACAAAAGTTCAAGTTATATAACACATTTTGTCAATCTCAAACCAAACATTTACCTTGGTTTGTGGTTGGGCACGTGGCTATTTTTCCCATTTTCTTAGGTTTAATTCCCTTCTTTCCCAAATTTTTCATTGCTTTCTTTTGTCTTCAATTTGAGGGATGAGTGACACATGACACCATCTAATTCAATTATTAAATTTATTTTAATTTATTAAAAACATGTTAAATTGAGAAAATATGTAAATATCATGTATCAAATGTGTGATTATACTAAAATATCTAACCATCATATCACCTAACCCGTTAAATGTTAATGCAAGTGGCTTGATCGAGAATAATTAAATAGTTTAGTAGTCTGATTGATAAAATTAAAAGATCGATGGTAAAAATTAAAAGGGATAAATAATTGAGTGGTCAATGATATAATTTACCCAAAATATTTATAATGAGTTTTTTTTAAGGACCAAATCAAATAAAAATAAAGTTACAAAAATCTTACGCAAAAAATTGAAAATTTTGCAAAATAATAGTAGTTTATATGTAAGCTTGTAGTAGTAGCTTTGGTGTTTCTGGCAAAAGGGATGGATCTATCTTCATGGGTACCTCTGCACAGTCACCCACCAGGTTTGCTTTTAGACTTTAAACAAAAATACAAGGAACATAGTTCTGGTTTCTGAACTCTAATCGATCACCCCCTTTTTTCTCAAGCTCTTTGCTTTAAGCCACAGTCCATTTTCTCATTCTTCTATTGAATCATTACATTTATAGCACCGCATATGCATAGCTGTCGGGTCTCTCCCTCTCTCTCTCTCTCTCTCATTCACCCCTTTTTCTTCCTAAACTTTCAAGTCAATTTTCATTCTGTTCTTTTGCATGTGCTTTCTATCCTGTTGTTGTTGTTGTTCTTGTGTTTACTTTAAATCAAATACCCAATTTTTTTTTATATATAAAACAATCATATTATAACTGTGTATAGTTCATCTTTTTAAACTTTTATTTGATTTAGTTGGAGATTATGTTAATGATACATGGAAGGTTTTTCCATAAGTAAATTTCATTAACTTTAATGATGGTTATAATCATCTCTTTCATGTGGAAATTTTATAATCTTTGGGTTTTAACTTTAGAAAATGCAGTTATAATCATGTCTATTTTATATAATTTTTTGTTTCTTGTCTCCAGACAGCAAGGCCCATGCTTTTGATTCCTTTAGGTTTGCTTCTTGAGACAAGGGTATAGTATTAATCAAGCCATCAGGATTATGTAAACATCATTCTCATTCAACAAAATCAAAAGCAATGTGCACACTGCTGGGAATTGTCCTATAACTTTGTCTCTGCATTTTTAATTTAGGGTATATAAAAGCCAGGCTGCTCTCAGCCCTTAAGAAATGGTGCTTGTCTTTGTTTTTTTGTTTTTTTACAGGGCAGGGTTAGAGCCATAGGATCAAAGGATTAAGTTCATTTTTTTTATGCTCATAAGTCATAATTCCCAGGACCCCAAGTTCATTATCTTGTGATTTTCCTCTCTTGGTAAGTAATGATTCTGGTTTATTTTCATTTGTGATGATGCCATGAAGCATTTACATTAGGTGATATGGTGCTTTGCTACTTTGGGTCAGTGTTTTCCCCCCGTTTTTGGTCATTCATCTATGATTCAGTGATTCGGTATGTGATTTAGGATAGTCTGAAAGTGCCACTTTCATATCTTTTAGTTCGAACAGAATGACTGAACTCGCCCGAAAATGTCGGTGTTGTCGATATTCATATTCGAATATGTGAAGGGTCTACAATGTCTGAAAATGATTCATTGTTGAGCTGATCATATGGTGTAGCTACTGCTGATGTTTATATCATTCACACTGTCATTGACAACATCCTTGTTAATTTTACTTGTGAATTTCAACTTTCTCATGTAATAATCGCTATGTCGACAATTTCGAGACATGTTGCCCTTGAAATGTGGATGAATGTTCCTGGATTTTGATGATTACCTTTGTTGATCATTTTCAGAAACAATGGCAACTCATGAATGAGGAAGTTCATGTTACTAGAGTAAAAACTTGAAACTATGAATGAGTTTGGAACTGGAAGATCAATGCCATGGAACATGTACCCAAGTTCCGATCCGAGTCCGTCTCAACCTGTATTCGATAAGGAACCACCGTTGAAAAACTTGGGGACATCTATGAATGCCATTTCTTTCGGCTTTGTTGCTACAGCCATCTTGATATCGATGTTTGTTATCTTGGCCATCTTCGAACACCTTTTTCAGCCAAATTCTTCTTTCTCTTCAACCGATCAAGAAGGACTAGGATCCGGAGCTGCCGAAAAACTCGGGAATCCGCAAAGAGTAAGCTTCTATCTCATCAGGCTGTTGAGTCAATGCACCCTGCATATTCTGCTGTTCTTTCTCTTTTGACAGCATCTCTTTAAGAACAAAGAAACTTCAACCAGCTAATCGATCACGAATTTCGACTCTTCAGCCACTAAGCTAAAAACCCTTCGTCCCTTGGCAATGATTTACCAATTTCTCTTATTGTTCTTCATGTAGAATCAAGTAAATTCTGATCATATATATACAAGTAAAACATGTAGTTTATTTCTGACATATGCTTTATTTCGATAGGATCTTGAAACTGATGTTCGATGAATCTGTCGTGATGGCAGGTATCGACGCCGTATGTGACTGATTTGACAGTGGTGATGCCGGGAGAACAAAATCCTACCTACATAGCTCAGCTTGCTCCTCTCCCTTGTCCAAGGGAAGGCATCCATTGGCCTCCCCATGAACATAGTTTTGTATATCCTTAAGCATACAGCATCATCTATGATGTTTTGGAATACATTTACCTACTTGTCTTCCATTACTATTTTCCAATGAAATATTATAATCTTGACAGATTGAAAAGAAAAGAAAAAGAAAATCAGAAAATTGTTAATCTAGGGTATGTTTGATGTAAAAGGATTAAGCGTAATATATGTAATTAATCACCCATTTATTCTCGCAATTCTATCTTGATCACCGACTATTTCTTAAATTATATCTAACTTTACGTTTTGATCACTTGTCGATAATGACATCATCAGAAGAAACAAAATAAAAAGAAACTATCATCACCAACAGTTCGTTTCTATTTATACAACACTTTCACCCAAAGAAAACAATCACTTGAGAATCAAAACCGCCATTGTGCATAGAAACTTGAAGAATTTATATTACAAACAAACAAACAAATTTACAATACAAGATAAAATTTGCAAGCAATTGAATCCCCAACACTCCCAATCATATCCCCCACAGCTCTTTTTCCTCTCTTCCATTCACCCATCCCCATGAAGTTCATCTCTTTAAATCTGACTATTCTCAAGTTTCCACTCATCTCTCTCTATATTTTCGGATTCTCTGATCTTCGGTAATTTTTTCCTACTAGTATTTGGTTCCATGGTGGATAAAGAATCAAAAGTGACAAGTGGAAGGGAAAATCGTCTAGTTCTCATCGATGCCATCTTCATCGGGTAATATTGCAGTCAATAAAGAATACTTTACCAGGAGAGAGATCTTTCCCTTCTTGACAACTAATCTTGCCCCCGAAACAACCCAATATCCAGGGCTTTCCTGTGGCCCTCGTGTAATTTCGGTTGTATCAATGAATTTCAAAAGCTTGGGAGCTTGAACAGGCACGGGAGGGCCTCCAGGGTAAACGGCGGAGTTAATATTCACATCAGCTGGCCTTGGAGGCGGCTTCTGAACTTGTGTGAAGTGATGACTGATTAGTGTGGATATGAGTCCAGACTTGGCAACTGACCCGGGTGATCCTTCCCATTCTGGCTGCTTAACGGAAATAGCTCCCAAGACAGTCGAGAAGCGTAGTCGTAAAAAGAGAATATTTTTAAAACCATGATTCTCAACCTGCAATTGGGCTCCAGTTACAATCGAAAGATCCTCATCGGACTCAATGGGAGCAGTGCATACATGAGAGTAGTTCTTCCAATAAACTTTCTCGTAGTAATTACGATCATGAGACTCTTGGCGGAAGTTCCCTTTTGGATCATCTACAAGTTGGAAGATTTTTGGGAGGGAGGAAAGGTGCTGCAAGTGGATGGCCAAGTGGTTGCTCCTTTTACCTTCTAGATATAGTCTGAGGCCGGTCACGGGCCTCCTACCCACATCAACCTGTAATGGAATTATGTAATTAAAAATCAGATATATTTTCTTTTGATATGAACAAAGACTTCCAGAAAAGGCGGTAGCTCAACAACCGAAGCACTAGTGGTCATCTATAAATTCAACACCAGCATTGAACATGGTCCGATTTTTTATCGACTTGGTGGGCTGATAAAAACTACACAAAGCCAGACATGGATGAAATCTACAAGGAAACACTTGATGCAGAAAGCCAGAAAGTTTCAAATTAAATTTTTTTTTACCGGAGTAGTGTTCACGAAAAGCTTGGGCCCCATAAAGCTGAATTGCAAAGATGCAGTGCTCTGTTGCTTTCGTTGCGGACCAAGAGGAAGTTCACCGAAAACCGGTGCCCACTGTCTTGGAAGCTGAAATTCCAAAAACTGGTGGAGCTCTTCAATTGGTGGTTTATCTGTAAGAGCAATAGCTTGCAGATGAAATATGTGCACACTGTTTGCTATAAAATAAAGTATCATTTGCAACAAATTCATGTTGTTTCATGACACAGATTATGTTAAGCTAGAAATACCTATCAATTATTCAGTTCCGAAACTCTCGCAGAGTTAAACACTGCTAGTTAAGGATTTCATGATAGAAAACGTGATCAAGGATCAAGTCCTATTGATGTAGTTTGGTACTTACTGTCGACTTACAATCATTTACAAAAGGTTTAATCAAAATAAGCTCATAACTCGTGTTTGATTGCCTTCGAATTACATAATAGTAAGACGGTTAGTGAACTTGTGATATATTTGACAAATTATAAAGTGGAAAAAATGCGAGGCATACTTCTTCAAGAGAATAATAAAGGCATTCCATGTTTGGTAAGAGAAAAATGGAGATACAATAATTTGAAGCAGGCGGTAGAAGAAAATAAAAATGCATTAGGTAGACAGGCAGAAACCATAGGTCTTGCTTACATCGCAAATATAGATTTATGGCATGGCTCAGAAATCCACATCCCGGCACTCCATTCAACAGAGAAGTAATAGGAATAAAGGACATTGAGATTACGTCAGGCTCTAACTGAACCGTTTGTAACCAGTCAATATGAGAAAGGTTTCTATTATCACTTCCACCTCTCCTTTTGTAAATGGTTACAATATCCTGCAATTTTTAGGTAATTATTAACATTGATATCGGGAAAGAAGCCTAAACCCTTACCAAGGAGCTTTAACTACTATGCAAACAACCCATGGAAGAAAACCAACCTCTTTATGTGCATATGAACTTGATGGACTGTTACTAGCAAACCTTAGCCGCTGCTCCCTGATTTCAAACTGAAACAGAAATAATTATATTAGATACCCCAGGAAAAAGGGGAAACACGCACTATGCCAATGTTTCACTTGTAAGGATGATTGACAGACAAGTTAAAACAAAAGAAGTTTTACCACCAAAAGTGACGGCAAACCAGATATAAGTAGACAAATACCCATAATGTATTTATTCTATAGAGATTAATTAAACTAATATTGGGAGGCTAGCAGTCAAAGTAATAAAATCCACCAACCAAGTTGAAAGACCTATAAAATAACAGTATCCTCATAAAACAAGCGGCAAAGCAAAAAAAATGACAGATCCAGATCTTGGTTAAAAAACCTGAACATTTAAAACAATAGCAGACATGTAGCATACTCTGGGAACTATTTAACTGGAATATCGTTAGCAATCATACAATATTTAGTGTGAAACTGGGTTGTAGTGTTACTATGTGAGAAAACTCTCTCAAAACAAATTTTGGCGTCAATACGCAACATCCTGCAACACTTCCCAATAACACCCTGCTTGGCAGGTTAAATCAGGGATATTGTATCCCTGTTGTAAAAAAAAAAATACTGATCTAGGAATATTGATTTCATTCCATCCAAACAAGGAGCATGATTTATGTATATATACAGCTATAGATTAGAAGATGTATCGTCACAGTTCTACAGCAAACCTTGTCACTCGGGTAGACTTGCTCAGGCAGCATGCTGTATTGTTCACTGACATCTATAAACCTCTTATCAGCCATATCCTTCAGTCTTTTCTGAATATCAGCAGGTTGAAGAGTAGAGGAATGCTGCTGTTTTATGTAAATAACATCCTTCCCACCCATCTTCACGCCAACAATTATGTGGGTGCCATAAGTTTCAATAAACCTGAGATGTCAATATTATATATCAACCTCAAATACTATATAGCAGAGAGTAAATAACATTATATAAAGCAGGCAGCAAGCAGAAGGCAGCAGAAAATTTATTGTTATCAACACAACAGCATTCTTCATATGTTCATTAAGAATATGCATGCTGAACCAGTAAAAGAGAAACAAAAAAGTTAATAATTGAATTGTTCACCACACAACAAACGAACTCAAAAAGAGAGGGAGCCAGAAACACAGATTGGCCGAAGCCCAAGTCAATACATGACAAGGTCTTATTTAAGAACTCATCAACAGCATTCAATGATCAAATTTGCATCAAAATTCACCTCGCCAATGCTGCAGGTTCCCATGTAGATGGGACTGCTTTCCTGACATGATCTCGTAGCACCATTTGGGATTTCTCCAGTGCGACTGAGTATAGTGTGATGAACACCCCATCAAAAGCAAGGGTCTTGGTATTAGCAGCATCTTTTTGCCAGCAACTAGAGAATTCAAACGTGGAATTGAAGTGGCCTGAAGGTATTTTTCCAGTCAAAGATATATCTTGGTTGAATTGCTCTGACATCTGGAGAAAATAAAAGAAAAGAAATGAGAAAATGCATACTCTTGTATATCTCTCACAGGATTTAACTCATGTCACAACAATTTAACTACTAATAGCATTGAACAAACGATGAATCATTACCTGTTGGAAAGAGAGAACATCGGACCTGAACCGTGTGCGCTCTCCTTTATCACATTTTATTGATTTGGGCACGTCAAGTATCGAAATTCCACCAGGTAAAACAATTTCATGGCCTTCATCTTCATCTATCTCGATAAGACATGGATCTTTCGAATTACCCCCTTTACAGTACTTCAGACGAAGATCCATTCCAATATCATATCCACATCCAATGGACCTTATGGCAATCTCAGCCGCCTCCGGTGCTGGCATCTTAAGCGCCATTGCTCAGCGCATCACTCTTTTTTCACCAAAACTGGAACCAAGTTCACACGTGATTCAATTATTCAAACCAAACATAGTACAATCCAAGTAAAGCAAAAGCAACACCGTTTCATTCATTTACAAAAATAAAGCTAATCCAAATCATACACACAGCTCAACGTGTAAAAACGGACCAAAAAACACCATACAAAATTTTCCTTTTAAGCATATATTACTAAAACAGAACATATCAGAATTCCATATATAGCTCAAATATTCAAATTCATATCAAACAAAATCAGTTTTCATACTCTTTTCCAGTAACAATTACAAGTAAAACCAAAATACCTCAATTTTAAGAAGAAAATTAGCCGATTTTCACAAATTAACAACACCCCAAATCCAAATATAGCTCCGATTGAACAAGCATCCCTAAAACACTAGATCCTTAAAATAAAAATAGACCCAAAATAAGTTTTCTAAAGAAGGTTAGCTCGTATTAGGCAGAAAAAAGGAGTTCGTACATTTTACGCTGCTCAAGAACTAAAGTGGGGAATCTTTGGTGGGGTTTTTAGAGCATATTTTGGAGCTCGAAAAAAATCCCAATACAAGTAAAGCTCACTCAAATTGAAGCCGGGACCCC